AGTAACTTTAACTCTAATTTTAAGAATAATTGGGTAAAATAGTTGGTCATAACGATGTTATAATGACAAAAGACTTACCATTTTCCTTTTCTTACAATCAACTTGACTGTCCATCTTGGGTGGCGGGAGCGAGCTCATCATCATCACTCGATTAAGCAGGTTTGTTATCATCCGCCGAAGAAGAGCCATTGGCAGATTAAAAACTTGTGTCACAAAAGCCCAGACTTTGCTTTTCACTATCGTGTTACTCATTATGAATCATGAAGGTTAAAGTTGAAGACACCGGTGTGTTACACAGTTTCGAAGAGATTTCATCAGACACATGTCGAATGGACCTTAGTATTACAAATAACAGAGACACGTCAAAAACAACTTATATAAAAAGAGTAATCGGTATTGTCTGAAGTCCAATTTAAAGACCTTACATTTGCGATTCATTCACTAATATCAGTCAAATGGACCCACACATTCTCCCTTCCATGTGTTTTTGCGGGAGTGCCAGATTTGTACTCTAAAATCCTCCCTTTACGCAGCAAATTATAAAGCTAAATGCAACATTTGACCTTGGTAAATTAAAAAATGACTTATAAATAGAGTTCAATTGGTACATTAAATCATGTACATGTCGATAATAGTTTTGAGCAGTTTGGGAATTATATTTAATTACGTTCATGGAGAGTACTTGGCAACATGAGGGAGACGGACCTGTTTTTAGTCTTTACAACCTTACAGCGCCATCTACCGTAACGGTGGAGAGCATGGGCGGATTTAGTGATTTCTCCAAGTAAGCAATATATATATATATATATACAGTAAATAATTATAATATATATAATATATTTTTCGTGCTGGCCAAAAATTAATTGCAATTAATCACATTCAAAAAAAAAGTTTGATTGTGTATTATATATATTTATTATGTTGTTGATGCCAAATTCTGACCCTACCATTCGAATGTCGCAGCAGAAATCGAGACTCGTCAGACCAGGCAATGTTCTCCCAATCTTCTATTGTCCAGTTTTGGTGAGCCTGTGTGAATTGTAGCCTCAGTTTTCTGTTCTTAGCCGACAGCAGCGGCACCCAGTGTGGTCTTCTGCTGCTGTAGCACATCCGCCTCAAAGTTCAATGTGTTGTGCATTTAGAGATGCTCTTCTGCCTCGGTTGTAATGAGTGGTTATTTGAGTTACTTTTGACATTCTATCAGCCAGGGGCGACGCTAGAGCCCATTTACTGGGGCACGTCCCCCAGTAAAAATTGCCAGTGCCCCAGTAAATGCCTTGAGATACGGTTTACTTTATATGCAAGTGTATTAATTAAGAGTGGTAATCATAAAACAAAGACGCAAACTGAGCATGTGTGCAGAATTTTGAATTTTTTTTTTTTTGTATGAAGTTGAAAGGAGGGATGAAGTCAGGAAGGTTAGACTTAATAAACCTAATTGTTAGCCTTGAATCAGGTCTACAACACACAACAGATTTTTTTTTTGTACTCTATTGAATTGTCTATGGACTTTCATTCTTATGAAATTAATATTCATGCAAAAGATTTCTTAAATTATCTTAGCATCGCTCCAGTTGTGTGACATTGGGGTGCTGTGCCCCAGTAGAGCTTTATGTCTAGCAACTCCCCTGTAGCTCAAACCAGTCGTGCCATTCTCCTCTGACCTCTGGCATCAACAAGAAATTTGCACCCACAGAACTGCCGCTCACTGGATATTTTCTCTTTTTCGTACCATTCTCTGTATACCCTAGAGTTGGTTGTGCGTGAAAATTCCAGTAGAATAGCTGTTTCTGAAATACTTAGACCAGCCTGTCTGGCACCAACAAACATGCCACATTCAAAGTCACTTAAATCACCTTTCTTCCCCATTCTGATGCTCGTTTTGTACAGCAGCAGATCGTCTTAACCATGTCTACATGCCTAAATGCATTGAGTTGTGATTGGCTGATTGGAAAATTGCGTTAAGGAGCAGTTGGACAGGTGTACCTAATAAAGTGGCCAGTGAATGCATTTCTCATTGTCCTGGGTGTGCGGATACCTTGATCAAGTAACCGTTTAAAATGTATGCAATAGGAAACGCAAGATGGCGCTGATAACTAAAACACCAGCGCGGACTGTCGGCGCCTCTTCTTGAGGAGTTGTTGTTTGCCTGTCTGGCGTTGCTAAGGAAGTCAAGTAAGTTTTCTTCATCTGCGAACTGGAGGTAACAAACATCAATTTCAGCTTAAATATGCGCCATTTAGTTATTCACACCAATGTATCGTAATATAGCTTTTAGTTCAATTTTATGGATTATATTTTACAAAGAGGAAAATGCTAGGTTTGAAGTGTAGCCAGCAAACGCCTGACATCAGTGAATATATCATCGCTGTGAGAGACAGAGATTTCAGTCAACTGTAAACAATTTATTTATCACTATACATGGCTTTTAATTATATTTGGTTAAGTGTTAGTTAACGTCTAATACCAAACATTCGCTCGGAGGAAACACCATTATATTTTACTAACGTTAATGATAATAATAACGGTTTGCTTGTTTTCCTGGTAATGTTGTTTAATTCGTCAAATACCATATAATAATCTAATTGTTTATAATGCGTTATAAATACAGTATGTTTGATTGAGATAAACATTCTTGTATTGAGGTAAAGCTATCTTTATATTTGCACATTCGCCCAGTGACAGCTAGTGACATGCTTACTAACGTTATATTATTTACCATGGTAACGTTACGTTACTTTGAATATTCGGTCTGAAATCACAAACAAGTATGACTTCAAAACAACATTATCACTGTTAATTCGACTGAAAAATCTTGGACTTTGATAGTCACTGGCTGCTGATATGATTTCAGATATGGTTTCAAATTTAGAATTGGCAAGGAATACTTTTATGAAAATATATTATTAAGAAGAAAGTCTGAATCTGTGAATATAAACTGAATATAATATAAATATAAATAAAGTTTACCTCAGTCATTCTTGTTGGGCAATTACCATTCAATTTTTTAAATAATAATTTTCCATTAAATAATATTGAAAAATATGTTACTTAGAATGTTGCAATGCAGGATTCCAGAGGTTTTTAAAGCTATATATATATATATATATATAGCTTATATATATACAGTTGAAGTCAGAATTATCAGCCCCCCTGAATTATTAGTGCCCCTGTTTATTTTTTCCCCAATTTCTGTTTAATGGTGGGGAGATTCTTTCAGCACATTTCTAAGCATAATAGTTTTAATAACTAATTTCTAATAACTGATTTATTTTATTTTTCCCATGATGACAGTAATTAATATTTTACTTAATATTTTTCAAGACACGTCTATACAGCTTAAAGTGACATTTAAAGGCTTAACTAGGTTAGTTAGGTGAACTTTGCAGGTTAGGGTAATTAGGCAAGTTATTGTATAACGATGGTTTGTTCTGTAGACTATCGAAAAAAAAAATTAGCTTTTAAAGGGCTAATAATTTTGTCCCAAAAATGGTTTGTAAAAAATTAATAACTGTTTTTATTCTAGCCGAAGTAAAGAAAATAAGACTTTTTCCAGAAGAAAAAAACACAAATTTAAACATAATTTGGGAAATATTGCAAAAAGAAGAAAAAAGTCAAAAGGGGGCAAATAATTCTGACTTCAACTGTGTGCATATATATATATATATATATATATATATATATATATATATATATATATATATACACACACACACACACACACACACACACACACACGCACACAGTTGCAATCAGAATTATTAAACCCCTGAATTTTTAGTCCCCGTTTATTTTTCCCTCTAATTTCTGTTTAACAGAGAGAAGATTTTTTCAACACATTTCTAATTATAATAGTTTTAATAACTCATTTCTAAAAATTTATTTATTTAACTTTGCCATGATGACAGTAAATAATATTTGACTAGTTTTCAAGACACTTCTATACAGCATTTAAAGGCTTAATTGGGTAAACTAGGCAGGTTAGAGTAATTAGGCAAGTTCATGTATAACAATGGTTTGTTCTGTAGACTATAAAAAAATGCTTAAAGGGGCTAATAATTTTGACCTTAAATGCTTTTTTTTTTTTTTTTTAAATTAAAAACTGCTTTATTCTAGCCGAAAATACACAACAAAAGAAAACGATTATTTTTACAGACTCTAAATCTTTCCCTCAACATATGGAATCTTCAAAGAGTGATCATCCCTTGATTGAAAATATTTAAACTCAAGTTCACCACCTACAAAACAAATTTTACCACATCATTTTTTGCTGGATACCAGGACATGCTGGACTTTCAGGGAATGAACGAGCGGATGCAGCTGCTAAAGCCGCTCTAAAACAAGCTGTGAACAAATGTCAAACTTCTCCGTCAGAGATGAGACCTTTTATTTACAATTACATTTTAAACAAGTGGCAAGAGGAGTGGGATACTCTGAAAAACAATAAATTACACGAAATCCAGCCTGAAATTACACACAGAGGTATAAGACGTTTTAAGAAATGAGCTGATCAAGTAATTTTTACCAGATGTCGTATTGGGACTAACACATTAACTAATTAACATTAGATTAACACATAACTTTTTACTCAAAGATGAAGAGCCTACCCAATATTTGCACTGTAAAACCCCATGGACCGTAAAACACATTTTACTGGACTGCCCTGCTTTTAATGACTTCAGAAAGACTTTTTATGATGAGAACTCTCTTAAGGACATTTTGAACAAAGTGACACCAGAAAAAGTATTAGAATTTTTAACATGTATTAACGAGAAAAATCTTATTTAAACTGTATATTAAATTATTTATTTTTAACTGTTGATGTTTTTCTATTACTGAAATGCTCATGCCATGAAAATAGCCTTAGTAGCTGACATGGCAATACATAAATAAAATAAATAAAACCTGAGAATATTTTTAAATTAGCTTATTAATAATATGTAATATCATTAAAAAAAGTAATTCAATGACTGATCATAAAATAATCTCGTTGTCTCCACAGGATGTAATCAGCAGAGTACCATGGGGCTTGTTTACATCTAAAATCAAGCCCGCCAATAGGATGAGTGAGCATGGAGACAGCATTGTCCCATTTAACCCCACAGATCTCAGGTCAGGAGAACCAGCCACCAAAACGGACATCACTGTCCTGAGTGTAGACCTGAGGACAGAGAAGAGCCACAATGAGGAGCTCAGAGACATTAAGAAGCCATACGATGGTCCTAAAGTACTTCAGGATGAGCATAGTCTCTATCAGCCTCGACCTCCCTCTCTTCCGAAGCCCATGGGATTGGGAATGGGGGGAAAAAACCTCTCGTTTGAGGAAAAGGTGAGGGGAAGGAGATTGAGGAACAGCCAGGAGAGCCTCACGGATCCGGGAGAGACGGGTTCTTCTACTGATTCCCTCAAAGATGTTGCCTCAGCAAACGGTCAAAGCCTTGCATCTCGACGTCCTCTCGATCTCCAGCACATGGAGATGCCACCGTTCAGGATTAGGACCGGGAGCTTGTCCGAGACGGATGTGTCTCCTCGTGACCTTTGTGATCCGAATAAAGAGCGCATGAAACCATCCAGAATCGTTCTGTCTCCTCTGCAGCCCACAGGCACGTATCCTCTTCTGGAGAACAGCACCGCCTCTGCGTCTTTAAGAACAACTAATAGGATTGACAGGGATTGTTTGGATTACGGTGTGGTGGGGAGAAGAGGGCGGTCGGAGAGGCTTCACAGGAATCTGAGCGATAGCCGGCTGTTGGACACCATGGTGTCAGACAATACATCTGTCCATTCCATGAAGTCCACATATAGCGTTCTGAACCCCATCAGACCTCGGGATGTGAGGAACAGGTGAGAAGCTTTTGTTTTGTCTTTTCTGTTTATAGTTTTCGCTCTGCAGATCTCCATGCTCCGCTTTAGGATCACATGTGCTGATGTGTCGTCTTGATTACCTCTTAAGAATCTGAAGCTGCGATACATTTGACCATTAGTTGACTTTAAAGTTGACTCAGAAGTGTTTCCGACCATCTTAAAGGGATAGTTCACCCCCAAAAAAGACATTTTACTTACCTTCAGGTGGTTACAGACCTTTCTACGTTTCTTTATTCTGTTAAACACTAAAAAAGATGGTTTGAAAAAAGCTGACCCATTGACTTCGTAGGAAAAATGGAAGTCAATGGTTACAGGTTTTCAACTTACTTGAAACTATCTTCTTTAGTGTTTAACAGAATAAAGAAAGTCATAAAGGTTTGTAACCACTTACTTTATTCTGTTAAACACTAAACAAGATAGTTGAAAGAAAGCTGACCTGTAACCATTGACTTCCATAGTAGGAAAAATGGAAGTCAATAGTTTCAGGTTTCCAGCATTCTTCAGATTATCTTCTTTTGTGTTCAACAGAATAAATAAAGTCTAACAGGTTTGAAACAAGTAAAGCATAATGAATGAATTTTAATTTGATCTCTTTAAGTGACATTCTAATGCCTAGGGAGCAAGTATGTTCACTCTATAGCAAATAAGTGAGCATCGACATCACATGTAATATCAAAGATGTTTAAATTAAAAAGTGGTCCTGAAGTTATTATAAGTATCGAGTTTATAATGTTAATTAACATTAAATCACACCTGTTTTGAGTTGTATTTGTCTGTTCAAAGGTATGAAATTAGCATGATTACTGTTAAAGGGATAGTTCACCCAAAAATCTGTAATCTTTGACTTTTATATTGTTTTATTCTTCTATAGAAGTCAATGGTTACAGGTTTTCAGCTTTTTTCAAACTATGCTCTTTAGTGTTTAACAGAATAAAGAAAGTCATAAAGGTTTGTAACCACTTATTTTATTCTGTTAAACACTAAACAAGATAGTTGAAAGAAAGCTGACCTGTAACCATTGACTTCCATAGTAGGAAAAATGGAAGTCAATGGTTTCAGGTTTCCAGCATTCTTCAGATTATCTTCTTTTGTGTTCAACAGAATAAATAAAGTCAAACAGGTTTGATACAAGTAAAGCATGATGACAGAATTTTAATTTTATCTCTTTTAAGTGACAATGCCTAGGGAGCAAGTATGTTCACTCTATAGCAAATAAGTGAGCATCGATATACATCACATCAAATATCAAAGATGTTTGAATTAAATAGTGGTCTTAAAGTTATTATTAAGTATCGAGTTTATAATGTTAATTAACATTAAATCACACCTGTTTTGAGTTGTATTTGTCTGTTCAAAGGTATGAAATTAGCATGATTACTGTTAAAGGGATAGTTCACCCAAAAATCTGTAATCTTTGACTTTTGTTTTGTT